GATGGGGGGAGGGGGGCGGGGGGGGGCGGGATCAGAAACCAAGGTGGACACTTGGTTTAAAATATAAGAACGTGTTAAGAAGTTTCAAAGCTGCCAGTAAAACCCTTTAAGTGGCTGGTGATGCAGTGCCTGGAGTTGCGGTGATGGCATTGCTAAATGACTCTAATGCCCAAAGAAAAATATTACAAATGCCAGTGTCTGGGCCACCAATCGGGCGCCGCTCTCCGCGAGGGCGCCGGCTCCTCTCTGGCGCGAGGGCACCCGCATTTGCATGATAAATTGGCCAGACTAGCGGCGGCCAATGAAATATTAAAATTAGTCCGCGGGTGGGGGTGGAGTCCCTGGGGCTCCCCTTGGCCCGCGCGGGAGCTGGCGGTCCCACCTCTCCTTCAGCGCCCTCTAGAGGCGGGACCTCAGGGCGGCCGCTCCTCCCTGCTCCCCACGAGGGGGAGGTGGGGCAGGGACGTGGTGGGCCTGTGTGTCCTGCACTTGGAAGTGTGGGTGGATGGCAGAGGCAGGCGGTGACACCAAGGAAGGGTTTAAGGAGCACTCTCTCTCTAACTCCCCTCCCCGCGTTCCTCTGACTTCGCCCAGCAATACTGACATTCTGGAGCAGGCCAACTCGCCTGCCCTGAATAGGACTCTGCACCCAGGCAGGCCCCCAACCAGGGTGCTGGGAGCTAGGACTAGGCTGGGGCGCCCCAGGGTCTGCGCCCGGCCTGGAGCTGCCAAGCTTGCTGAGGCTGTGGGAGCCTGGCCCCTGGAAGAGCCTGGCTGGAGTGACACTGGGCCTCAGCAAGCAGGACTCCTCCCCTGGAAAACACATCTGGAGAAAGTGGCCAGCCCTCCAGGCAGGAGTGTGCAAAGGTGTGCAAGGAGAGACAGGTGTATGGGACGCATCAGACCACAGAAGCCCAGCCAGGAAAGGTGTGGAAGTAAGTGCGGGTCACAAAGAAGCCATGGATGGACTCTGGGAAGGTGCTGTCCTCCGGAAAGTGGGACTGGGCACCAGGTGAGCTGGTCTCCTGGCCTTGCTCCTACCTGCAGCTCAGGACTCAGTGGGGACTTTGCACAGGATTCTGGGTTGGACCAATGGCTACCTCTTATCTACTGACCCACAGGAATTTACAAAGGTTTGTAAACGCCCCCCCCCCCACCACCACCACCATCTGGTGTCAGGTACCTGGGGCCGCCCTGGCCGCAGGCTTATTGAACATACACAGTTGTTAGAAGCGAAGTTGCCTTTCTCTCCGGGGAGGGTGAGCACTTTGTTCTTTCTCCATTTCAAAAGGAGTCAGGTCCCAGTTAACAGCTGCCTCAGGGAGTGCTTGAGCCCCACCCTCCTCCCCGCCAGGAGGGTCTGCAGGGGGTGGTCAGGCTGCTGGCAGGTCTGAGTTCCAGCCCCACAGCCATCCTCCCTGGGCTCCCTCACAGGGGAGAACCTGGTGGGGAGGGGCGACTCTCAGAGCAGGGCCCCAGGCTGGGAAGACTCACAGAAAAACAATGGTGGGAAATGAATACAAATTTGACAGAGTGAATTTTGATATTTGATCACGTTACAGATATCATTGTAAGGCCAGAGAAAAACCCCCTCCTCCTATGTTTTAACTTTAACTTTAACTGACCTTTCCAGTAAACTCTGGTGCTCTGGTGTAGTCACAGCAGAGCTATTTTATCTCTTCCTGGGATCGGTTTATGCAGGACAGACCACCCTGGCCCCTCAGGAGATGAGTCAACTACTAACACAAACCAGACCTGTCCCTTCAAGAGATGAGTTAACTGTTAACCCAGTTTCCTGACATTCCAGGCCACCTGCGTGTGGCTTTTGCCCTGACATTCCAGGCCACCTGCATGTGGTTTTTGCCTTTATAAACCCATGTTCTGCAACTGCTCGGGGCTCCCAGTCAGCCAGCACTTCCTTCGGGTTGCTGCATGCCTGCCTGAGAGACCCTGCGCCGCGCTTGTAATTAAACCTCTTGCTTTTGCATCAAGTCTTGGTCTCGGCGTTTGACTTGGGGTCGTCGCCCACTCCGTCAGGCACACCGGGGGTCTTGGGACCTCACAGGACCACAAGCTCTACTGAGCAAGTAGATGATGGGGTGCAACAGGCCCCTGTGGGCCTGTAGGTGAGGATCCAGAACTACAAGCATCTGAGCCTATGCCTGGACCTGTCATCTTCCCTGCACTCAGACAGCTTCTACCCACCCGATGCTGGCCTATCTGATGATGCTGGGCATCCGGTTGACAGCCTGCCCCTGGATCTGCCACCCCTCACTGCGCCCCAGGCACACAATGCCTGTGACTAGTGGCTGCAGGATGCCTTCCATATCTGCCTCTGAAGAGCTGGGGATAGAGGTTGGGGGACGGGGAGGGATATGCAAAAGGCTCAGAAACTCACCCCTTTAGCAAGTACTCAGACTATGGTGCTGTTTTGCCCCATATCCCCTCACTTCATGGGAGGACACAGCCAGGGAGCCTCAGAGGCAAAACAGCCACAATCTCTCTCTTTTGTCTTGGGTTAGCTGGCACTGGGGCAGGCAATTGGGCTACAGCTTCTGCCCATGGCACTGGACCCCCACTTCTGCCAGGTGTATACCCCAGCTTGGCCAGCCTTCAGTCTGACAGTGTGACCCAAAGAATCTTGACTCCCCCTAGCATCTCTGGGATTGGGATGAGTACCTGGCTCCCACCTCCTTTTCACCTTTTGTTGCTATTGGCAGCTGCTGGCATGCTGGCATCTCACACTTGTTCCTGGGTTCCACTGTCTAAACAGGGGCTGTGGGGCCTATTCCTGCATCCTGGGAGTGCCAGGATATTTAGGGGCTGGCCTCTGGGGCAGTAGAGAAATAAATACTCTCTCAGAGAAACAATTTTTTAGAAGCTGTAACTATTTCTTGCACTTCTTTACATTTCCTATAGTGTCAGATGCGTTTCTGGGCAGATGAAAAGCACTTAAATAATTATGGATACTGTGTGTCAATACAAAAGTATTCATTACTATGCCACAGAAGAGATACACTTTATAAACATTGGTGCAAAAAAAAATTTTTTTGAATATTTGAAGTATGTGAAAGCATAGAAGAATTATCTTACCTGAATACATCCTGCATCAATATTGCCCCTTTCAGGTTTAACTCTAAAATTTGCAGTTTTTCTAAAGTGGTACATCACAGGAAGTAATTTGGATCGATTTTTCATAATAAACGAAATCTCTGAAGATTCACCAAAGGAACAAGTTGGGAAAGTAAGAAAGCTTCCTGAATTAAACTGCATTATAACAGGAAGTCCTGAGCCTGTCAGTGCTAATTCCAGTTTCTGAAATTGATCATCTGTAAAAACAATAGTTGCTTTTTAACATAAAAGTGTTTTGGGAATCCAAAATATACAGTATTTGCTCAGTCCAAAAAAGTGTTATCTGTAAGATCTGATGCTCATTCAATTTTTCCTTCAACAAAAACAGTGAGTGCCTTCTCTGCACCAAGTACTTTGTTGGGAGGTAAAAAGAAGGCCTTTCTTTTTCTTTGCCTTGGCCTTCCACAATTTATGAGAAGCACCTGGTAATTAAACCCCAAGATTGTCAGCTCCTCTGATTCAAACAGCCCCTCTGTTCAAACTGCAAGACAAAGATAAGCTTCTTTCAAGGCTACATTCTTGCATACCCCTCCTCCTCCCCAGAAAATGGGGGCTAGAAAGTTTCTAGTTAGTAAAAGGGCTCTACTCCCTCATATTGCAACCCAAGCTGCCCCCCTTTTTGAATTCTTTGTAACTTTTGCTCTAAGAATGTTTTACAGACCCTGGGAAAATACTGATAAGACACCTCCCCAGGACACCTGCCCCCCACTGTCTCCTGAAGAACTAACAAAAGACAACCCCCCTGATGTCTGCTCAATTTCAGCCCAAAAATCCTCCTCCCTTCCTTGTCACCTAGCAACAGCAGCCATTAAAGAAGCAGGCCATTGTTTTTTTCCTCACCTTTGTATTGACTAGCAATGCAGTGGCCCTTTCCTTTCAGGGAAAATAAAGTGATCTCTCTCTCTCTCTCTCTCTCTCTCTCTCTCTCTCTCTCTCTCTCCTCCCCCCCACCCCCCTTCTCTCAGTTGTGAATTCTTTTACCGCCCCATAGGCCCAAAAAACCCTAACATTACTCTTCTAGGCCTTGGGGATAACAGCAGTGAATAAAATAGCCAATGTCCCTGCTCTCAGGGACTTTGCATTCTAGTGAGGTGACACTGACAATAAAATAAATAAGTAAATATAAACCATTTCAGAGGCGATTAAGTGTTATGTAGAAAGGTAACTTAGGGTGAAGGGGATCAGAATTTGTCACCCCCAACTATGCCTTTTTGGCATAAGGGAAATTTTAGAAACAGCAGACACAGGAAAAACTCTGAAAACCTAGAAGTTAGCCTTTTGTAAGAGACTTTACATTTATCAGGGAAATATCCATTTGTAAGGGTGTCTTCCTCTCTGCACCAGAAAGGAACTCTTATCAATGGAGAAGGCACAGACCTAAAACTGCAAAATAACCTTATCCTCTTTTACTATTGTCTGCCTGAAAATCTCCCATAATTGGCTCCTCACCCCCAGTATCTTTTGTCTTTAGCTGGAGGTGGTATTTAAGGTGGTGTCCTGGGCTATTTCAAAGAGTTACTCAGTTTTCCTGGGTATCTCCCAACTATGCTGGAAATACACGTTATTAAACTTAGGTAGGTTTTTCTCCTGTTATCTATCTTTTATTATAGTGGGTCTCAATCAAGAATTTAGAAGAGTAGAAGAAAAATTCTTTTTCCTCTCCTACAAGGGTAAGACAGAGCACATGATCTTGGGGCTGCTCTTTTATATGGGGGAATCCAAAAAGGCATCTCTGATAGGGAGACATTTGAGCAAATGTATAAAGGGACTCTGGAAAAAAAATCATGTGAAAATCTCGTAAAAGTGCTTTCCAGATAGAACAGTAAGGACAAAACTCTAAGGTAGGAATTTGCTTGGCATGTTCCAAAAATCCTAAGGAGCCAAATATGTCTGGTGAGCAATGGTCAGATTTAAGATTTTATTTATTTATTTATTTATTTATTTATTTAGAGAGATTTGTTGTTCCACCCATTTATTCACTCACTGGTTGCTTCTTGTATGTGCCCTGACCAAGGATCAAACCCACAACCTTGGGGTATCAGGATGATGCTATAACCAACTGAGCTACCTGGCCAGGGCTAAGATCTATTTTTGAGGGGAGTTAACAACATTTGCTGATGGATTGGATGTAGACTATGAAATTAGACATATGATCGATGATGATGCTAAGGATTTGGGGCTGAGCAACTAAAGTGATGGAATTGCCACTTCTTGAGACAGGAAAGAATGCAGGGGAGACAGGTTATGCAGAAGCCAGGAGTTAAGTATGGACTTGTTCAGTCTGAGATGCCTAGGAGATATCCAAGTGAAAATGTCTACTAGGTCACTTAATGAATTTATAAGTTTAGAGTAAAGATGAAGGAGGAAGTATTGAAGATTTGAGGTGAAAAGAGGTGTGTGATATCAATCTCAATTGTGAGAATGTGAATGGAGGAATGCAGCAGGAATGGCAAACAGCTTAAAGGACCTACTTGGGGTTAGTGATTGTAGATTAAAAAGTGAAACAGCACAGAACAGTCCTTGCTGTTCTATCTGGTTTTGTTTTTCTCCATCACAAGTAGCTTCCCAGGTGCACACACAAAGCAGGCTGAGATTAAAGACTTTCCACTCAGTCAATATGGGAGATGGGCCAAGATATTTAAGTGTACATGGGAAAAGGTGACTAAAATAATGGACAATGGAATATAAGCTGGGTAATAACAGAAACATGAACTTTTGGAGATACTAAAAAGAAGGTAGGAACTATGAATTGGATGTTCTAATTGGGTGAAAGAGCAGTTTTACAGAGAAAGAATCCCAAAAGAGCATTTGTATTTCTGCACTGATGCTCTTACTAGCCAATCCTAGACTCTAAATTACCTTTAAGGCAAACCTAGCATCTCCATCTCTAGCCATTCCAAACTAGATAAATTTGTAATCCTGGAACAAATACTATAACAATGATCAGCAGGCAGAGCTCAATATCATAAACCATTATATAAATAATAACAGAGCAATTTGTGCCCTAAGAACACAATTCAACCCTGCTCAACAAAATTTATCAGTATACTGACATTCAAGTCTTTTACACTCTTGACTTGCCATGGCTCATCTTTCTGGATTTGATCCCTCACCTGCCTATATCTTTATTTTCTCTTTGATCTGTTTTATTAAGCTGACCTCCAAGTCTTGTTCCATTTTTGCTCACTGCAGCCCATCCAATATTACCTGAGAATGTAAAAAGTGCAATGCATCTCAACATGTGGCCTGTAAAGCATATGCACTTATCAATATCCTAGAACAGGATATTGAACCCTATTTACCAGAGCTCTAGGTGGTGTTCTTTGACTGTTACTGTATATAGATTCTGGAGCTGAGGATCTGGTAAAGATGGAATGGGTCATCTGTTCCCATATCAATCTCTAGAAGACAAACTAAGATTATATAGGAAAAGAAGCCAAGTTGTTTTTTATTTTTGTTTTCAACTAAACTATAGATCAGCGATTTGTAACCTTTTTCATCACATGACACAGATAAACTAATGACAAAAATTCTGCAGCACACCAAGAAATATAATTTTGCTGATCTGACAAAAAAATAGGTATAATTTTGATTCATTCTCACTGGACAGCTATTGTTGTGTTGGCTGTTGTCATTTTTTTATTTGACAATCTAAGGGAAAAATGGTCAGTGCCCCTGACTACATAGTCAGGTATTGCATGTTTTAAAAATCTGTGGCACACCAGTTGAAAATTACTGCTCTAGAACATCCTGTTTATCTAATGTTATTTAAAAACAATAATTTTCCCTAAATTATAGTTGGAAGATTACTATGCAAATGATTCTGAGGTTGATTTTTTTCCTTACATGCCTCAGAAGACACTTTAAGATATCTTGATTATTTGCATTTTTGTTCTATTCAATAGTTATATATTTTTATTATATTGCTTCTAAACATATTGATGTCCAAACTTTTAAACAATTTAAACTACTATAAATTTATGATTAGATTCATTTCACACTTACTTTTGATGGTTTTAGAGTTATCATCTCTCAAAAACCCATCCTTACTTCCTACAGAGTCAAATCTCACAAAAACAGCATAGTCTTGCCTGTGTGAAGGGTCATAATCCTTTTTTCCTTCGGTAATTACCCTGTAAAAAATTACAATCAGTTATTTTTAAAGCAAAGACAGTGCACTTTGTTACCTCTCACAAGGGAATATCAACTGAATCCTTAAATCTATGCAAAGAGATGAAAGTTCAGGAATAAAAATATGATTGTGAACCAGTTTTCAATATTACTGGGCAGACAGAGACTTGCCAAAAGAAGGCCACAAAATGTAAATATCCCCCCAAAAATGAGTTCATGGCAACATTTGCAAGAGCAATTTACAAACACTGTCAGCTCCAATGCCACTTTCTATATAAAGGTTTTTCTTTCTATGCACACTTCATTGCTGGCTAAGGTCTGTTCATTTCTCTAAAATAGTCCTTCTTGCCCAGCTGTGATGGCTCAGTGGATTGAGCATCATCCCATGGACTAAGTGGTCCCTGGTTCAATTCCCAGTCAGGTTGCGGGCTTGATCCCCAGTATGGGGTGCAGGAGGCAGCCAATCAATGATTCTCTCTCATCATTGATGTTTCTCTCTCTCTCTCTTCCGCTCTGAAATCAATAAAAACATATTTTAAAATAGTCCTTCTTAACCCAGGATGTAATTGCAAACCTCTGTTACATAAGTGTTCCTCCCATAGACAAAGAACATATTGCTAGGCACACCCTCATTACAGAACAGGTAACTTAGAGAACAAGATTTGGAGAAAAGGCAAAGAAAGATGTGAGGAAGAAAAGTAGGACCAAAGACATAAATGGGTTACATCACAGGCCTACACACTGGCAATCTTTACTTGTCTTAACCAGAAGTCAGGTTTTTTAGCAGTGGATACTCAAATACATACACAAAAGGCTGATATTAAATATTACCTAAGAATGCAAATAGAATGTTGAGAACATACGTAACTAAGACTTCAATTCATACTCATATCTATAAGTTTATGCTAGACTCTCAATTACCATGCTGCTATGAAAAAAAATTCTTACTTATAATTTTAAAGATTTTGTATTACTTTTACAGATTCACCAAAGAAATTCCTGTATGAAGGTATGGTAAATAAGGCAAGTATAGATTGTACAAATAGAACATTTACTTGATGGATTCCTCTCCTTAACCCAACTCAGTTTCAGCAAACAATTGGTATCATCAAGGGACACTATAGCCATAAAAAGGACATTACCCATTTCCTGCCTTCTCACAAATAAGGGTAAACATATGTACAATTAGATGGGTTATCACCACACACTATACAACCTCTCAAGTGTAGCTTAAATTGCTACTACATATTTAAAATAGCATTTCCAAATATTTTCAAACTAAATAACCAAACCAAGGACTCAGAATTATGAAAAATATCCATTGGCAAGAGTCCTCAAAGTCTGTATGAATTTCAGCTACCAACTCTGGTTGATTCCAGCAACTGCTATAGGCTTAATATTAATTCATGAAACTCAGTCAGCAAGCATTTTGCCCTGGCAGGAGCACTGCATCCTCTTTGGAGGCATCTAGAACATACTATATGCCACTGGCCATCATCTAACTTCTGCAGGGACAGCAAGGTCTTGGTTGCACAGATTTGTTTGGAGCCACAACCCAAAACTTTCACTTCCACCACCTCATTTCCACAAGGTCTGGAGAGATTTTTAATTTAACATGAAGTAGTTAGATCATATTTTTAAATATTGGAGATAATATTAAGCATGTTAGGAATAGTTAGAACCATAACAAGAAAAAATCCGATTTTTGCCTCTTGGCAAGTTTTAATGTTAAAGTCAGTCTGATGAATGAATGGTTAATGTACTTTCCATTAATAAGCAACATCACAATGGAATTGATTTTTGCTTACTTTGGGCTGAAACAAAGTGTAATTTTAGTCTTTTGATAAGGTGGTAATCTCCCTTCATTAGGAACACAGGAGATAAAGGTGGTAATATCCAAATTCTTTATTTTTCTTATGAAGGCGAGATTATTTATAGCAACATCTGTTCTTTGTTGCATATTTGTACCCTGTAATATAAATCAGAAATAAAAGAGTATTAAGGAAAACATTAACAAAATATTTTTAGAGGTCATAAAATAATTATAGAAATTCCAGCATCTAAAAAATAGAGAATATGTGTGCCCTTAAAGTAACATACATAAATTTGATGAAGGTACATCATAAAATTTAAATAACTTAAAAAAACTGATGAGAGCAGAAACCCCACAATTAGTCACTTATTTATAAGAAACACTTGTCTGATTTACTTCAGATATATTACTATCAGTGTTAGTTTAATTTACTGAATTTTTTCAGGTTACTTTTGAAGATACATGAAATAAAATTTTATTTATCTGCATGTTAAAACATATTTAGAATAATTAAACAATTAAACAGCTTGTTGGGAAGATGAATTTGAAAATTAGTTTTCCCATATTCTCAAGCTAGGCCTTCTTGATCAATAAACCTTTCCTTGCTCTTAAAAACAAAACAAAAAGCAACTTGTTGGTTATTAGTTCAAAACAATTTGTTTCAAAACATAATACCTGATGCACTATTTACTTACCAGTTCTTCTCCAACTGAATCATTTTGTATTATTGCCACCCAATTTATAAGTTCTGGGCTATTATTGAATAGAAGAGCATGTTCAATCTTCGATGTTCCAAAGAAAGTACAACCAAAGTGTATGCATTCCAGCTTTTGATTACCATTCATGTTTAACAATTCAAGAATCTGCTCAACCACACGAACTCTGATATATAAGAGTACATCTGGACGACCTTGCAAACTCACTCTATAAGATAATGAATTATACATATATTTTTAATTAGAATTCTATATACTCTTTCTCCTAAATACTGATATAAACATAACTTTTATAAAATCACATTATAATTAAAATTCAAAGGCCCAAGAGCAGTTACTTTCACATACATGTGACTGTCATGCCCTCTGTCTGTCTGAATCTATACAGCAGAATGGCATATATACAACCTAATTCACTGTCTCCAGGAAACAACAAAGTTGGGAAACAATCACAGGAACTAACCCCGAAGAGAACTTATCGGTATGTTCATATCACCAATTATTTTGTAAATACTAGAGTTAGATGGAAAAACATTATACCTCTAGTTCTAGAATTTTGAGATTCTTTTCTAACTCATCCTACTCAACAAGGTACAAATTGGGAGTATGGGGTCACCCCCATCCTTATACAGTAGGTCCTCGGGTTACGTCTGAGATCCATTCCTACAGCGCGATGTTACACGATTTCCACCGTAAGTTGAACCCACCTACATAAGCACCTACGCCACTCACATGGAGCACATACACAGCAGTAATGAAGTGAAACAGTAAAAAAAATTCAAAAGAAAGATAACAATTCCTGACCTTTACTTGTGGTAAATAAATAATAAAAAACATAAAGCACATATATACATATGTCGAAATGACCGAACTTTTTTTTTAATAAATAAATGGGAGATGGTGACGTAACCACGAAATGACGTACGTCGAGTCCAACGTAACCTGAGGATTGTCTGTAACTCAACTCCCTACAAGGTAAATTATTTCAGTAAAATCCCACTCTTTGCTGAAATGCACACACATACCCCCCATAAAACTTCACTTCCCAGACTAATTTGAATTCCCTTTGGAAACTGGCCCCCACACCAAATGTACCTTTCTCTGGCCCAAATGCAATGCTTTTGAATCTTGCCCCATCAAATACCACAAACAACTGATCTCTCCACAAACTAGGTCCTTAGCTTACACTCTGTCTCTGTCACACTGGACATGGTCGATATCACCTCTTGGCACATCTCTCCTCCCCCTTAGCTTCCTTGGCACCATACTTTCCTGGTTTTCCTCTCACTTATTCAGACTCTACCTTTCTCATTCTTCTAAGATTCGGATATTTTGTAAATTCCATGACTAATGGTATTTCTCTCCTACTCTTTCATATGCTACACTCCTCAAATTATTTTCAACACTTCATGCTTCATTGACAACTTATCCACTGACAACTCTCAAACCAATATACTTAGAAAAAAAATTTTTCTGGGGCTCAAGATAAATAAATCTAATTGGCTCTACAGTATTCTACAAAACAAATCAATTCCAAAATTTCAAAACTGAACTCAGATCTTTTCCCATAGATATGCCCCTTCTCTAACCTTCTCTTTCTATAACCACTCACTGAATCTAGTCAAATCTATCTCTATAACATACCTCTAATCTGCAGAATTCTCTGCATACTCCCAATCTGTACCTGAGCGAAGCCTTTATCATTTCTCTTTTGCTTTATTATTATAGAGTCTAGTCAGGCTACTCATTCCATATCTGTACTCACTGCTATTAGCACAACCTTTCTAAAATACAAACTAATTAAGATACTCCCATCTTAAAATTTTCCTGAGATTCCATAGCCTTCACAATAGAACCTAAACTATTAGGGCTCACAACTATTTCTCAAACTTTTTCCTTTGCTGTGACCTTCAGTAAGAAATATATCTTACATTGCAAGATATATTTAGGAAGCACAAACACACACACACAGCCTTATAAAACATTTTCCTTTAGTAGGTGAGATGCATTCTGATATTCTCAACTTCATTGTTTTAATACTGGTGATGCCCCATTGTAGTGATTGCACATCCCACTAATGAAATGAGACTTAAAGCATTAAATAACACTGTCCTATGAAATCCTTTAATGGACCCTACACCATTCTGTTTTCCTGGTCTGATCTTACATCACTCCTTACCTCCATCTCTTTGCCTCTACACTCCTCGGACTCTCAGTGTGCAACACTGTCTATTCACCTCTAGGAGTTCAAGTCTTCTAGTTGCTCTGCCTAAAATCATTCCTCTAACCAACTCCTATCATCAACACCTACCTCCACTACACACACACACACACACACACACACAGGCGCGCGCACACACACACACACACACACACACAGCCCAAATCACACCACTGCTCTATGTCTGACTAATTCCTACTCACCAATGAGTGTTTGGTTCAACTATTACCTCCTTAGTGGAGCCCTTACTTGATCCACTCCCTCACTCCCACAAAATCTAAACTAGTACCTCCTGTTATATATACCCAAATACCATCCTCTGGTTCTTCCCATTTTTGAATCCCTTGTTTAGTTTTAGAAATAAGGCAAGCCTCCCAAGTCAGGGGTCCTGGTAGAACACAAAACATATTGGGGAGCCAGGCAGCAAGGCAAACATCTTTACATCTACGTAGAAGTGTGCGTACACATGGTCTGGAAGCATGCGCACACCAAGCAGGCAGTCTGCTCAGAATTTATAATCCCTGACACACATGACCTGTCCCTTGCTCTTGATTGGAGCTCAGGTGCACAGTCTTCTGCGATTGGCTAATTCAAAGGAAGGGATTGGACTTTGCTGTTTCAAGATGGTGGCCCCCAGGAGAACTGCAAGCCATGCAGCCCACATGGCGGCTGCCAAGTCACGTAGTCCAAAATGGAGGCTGTCTAAACTATTCTTTGACAGAAAAGATGATTTGTTTACTCTCACATTTAGCAAATATTATAGACTCAATTTATTACTGCTGACTGAAAAACCAATGAGGCTAACCCACACTCAAAGACAATAGGCATATCTGAAAAGAGAAAAACAGGAAAGTATTAAGTACTATATTAGAATTAAGCACCATAGAACACACTCACATTGCCACTTCATTTACAAGGCTGGGCTGGTCTGCACAGAAATCCACTTTAATAATCTTCGAGGACTTGGGTTCCACAATACCATCACTTGGAGAAACTACAATGGGTAATTGGCCCTGGTATTTTGTTGTAAACATACCTAAGGAGAACAAGAGCAGGTGGTTCACATCTGGATCCTTACAATATTACATTCATACCTTGGTAGAGGACAGACAAATATTACAGAGTATATGGTCTACTGAAGACCAAGAACTACAGCTAGGGTCACCAAAGATGTGAGCCTAGTGTTAAGACTTAACCTTCATCAATAGCTAAAATATATTGCCTGCTTACTGCGTTCAGATACTTATGCTAAGAGCTTTGCATATGGTATTCTATTTAATGCTCATAACGATTCCTTGATATAGGTTCAGTCATTACCTCCATAAATAATGAAATAGAAACTTAGAAAGGTTGAGTGACTTGTCCAAAGACATACAACTATTGCGGTAGATTAGATGGTTGACTCCAATTCTCCACCCTTCTCTGCATCCTTACCATTACCCTACCATGGACAAAGTATGTTTCTCTACCCCTTGACTTTGAACTTGATCATGTGATTTACTTTGGCCAACAGCATTTGGCTAGTCGTGACAATATGCCAGCTCTAACCCCAGATGTTCTCCTGCAGTTCTACAATGAGAAATGTTTCTCAAGTAGCTGCTGTCCCTTTGGCATGTGCCCTAGAATGAGCAAATATGGAGCACAGCCACCCAGCTCACTCACAGACCTGTAGTAACAGAACAGCCCCAGCTGCCTCAGCCTGAAGCAGCCATCCACCTGAGCACAGTCAAGTTCCAGCCAATCATCATACAAATGAAAAATATAAAAATAATTGCCTTTTTTTTCATATACAGAGTTGTGGGGTGGTTTGTAACATAGCAATATTTGATTACTATAGCTGATAACTAAATAATTGAGCTGGGACTTTCACCTGGATGTTTCTGACCATAGGACTCAAACTTATAGCCACTGCCACTTCTCTATAGATGAATTAATGCAATTCACACAGGAAAAGGGCAAAAGGAATGGGTTTCTAGAATCAACTAGCATATGAGAAGGAGGCTACAAAAATTTCTTCTAAAAGTAGAAATGGTTCATAATTTATGGTTATATTTGGCACCTATATTAGTGCACACAATACTTGAGATCAGATACTATCTTTCTCATCTCTATGGTCCTAGCACCCACATAGTGCCTAGCACAAAGCTGTGTTCAAAATATGTCCAACAAATAGAAGCAGTCACAAATTTCTTAAATATCATTATACAATATTAAAACAAAGGAACATACTGCCAACATAAACAACTTTGCAAATTTGTAATTCACCCATTTTAAATCATAATTGATGACATTTTCCAAAAGTATTCATTTAACTTAGAAGAATAAAATATTAGCATAATAAAAGTACTGAAAACATAAAAAGACAATAAAATGTTTTTAAGTTCAGAAATAAACTGATGGAAAAGGCAAATTCACAGTAAGAAAATTTGTTAATCCAATTATTTTAGGGAAGTGCTAATGGCATAATATTTTAGGTTTATTTTCTGTCATAAGATAAAACAAATATCTGTAAATTATATTCATTTCAAACAAATTACCATTATTGACTCAGTTCTCTAGAAAAAGAAAACTGCATGAGTCCAGTTAAGGCTGAGTCAGTGTAATAGTTCCTATATTGTAACCACTTTGATGTAATTTGACAAGAGTTTAAGTAATATTTCAAACGCTTATTCAGGAACAACCCTAAAATCAAAGGAACATTGTTCAGTCTTCTAATTATATTAAAACAGTGGGTACATAAACATTACTGTGTCATATATAACTTTAATACCATTAATAATCATGAAATATTTGACTGTTGTGTTTTTTAATTGCTAACAACAGGAGCAAGGACATCATCCTAAGAGAAGAGTATCACTGAAGGAAGGAAGTTACAGATTAAATTTTGTCATCAAATTTTAATTTATTTTCAGATATGACACTGGCTAATGTGTGGCAAATGAACTAGAAGGAGATAAGAGGAGAATTCAGAGAAATAACGTAGATTGGTGTAATTACCAGGCAAGAGAAAATGATGGCCTGTTGTAGAGAAGTGGCAATGGGACAGAGAAAAGTAGAATTACCAACATAATCAGGAAGTGAATAGACAGGATTTAATAAATGACAAAGGGGACAGGAGGTGAAAAAAAGGGGAGATCTCAAGGATGTTACCAAGTTTCTGACTTTCCTAAATACATGGTGGTGACTATGAAAAAGAGAAAAGGACAAGTTTTGGGGAGAAGCAGAGAAGTTTAGTTTTAGACATGTTAAGTTTGAGAAACCTAGAGGAAATACAAAGAATTGTATAGACTTCAGTGAAGTAATAGGAATGGAAGTGATTACCTAGGGAAAGTGTGTTGACTGTGGAGACATGAGGATCCATGTCAAGTCCTCGGAAACACTCACATTTCATGTCCAAAAAAATGGACATCTGTCCACAAAAGAGAATTGGAGAGGATGGAGGCAGTAGAAAAAGAATAATTCTAACATCAAGTGAATATTTATTGAAGACTTAATGTAGGTCAGAGAGTGTGCTAAGCATTTTATTAATCACCACCACAGCTGTAGAGGGCAAGCACTATGTGTTTCTCTAATGTTTAAGTGAGGCTGTGGATTTAAGGAATTGTAAATTCCTTGCCTAGGGCCTCCAAACCAGTAAATGTTGCAACCAAGATTTGGGCCCTGGAAGACCTCACTCCAGGAACTGAGCTACTATGAGCCATTATTTTATACAGGAGAGTGAGGGGTTCTATAATCAAAAAAAAAATTGGCCAACTGTGTCACATGTTGCTAATAAGCCAATAAAATAAACACAGGGACTTGTCCACTGATGAGACCTAGGAGAGAACATGGGATTTGAGAATACCCACAGCTGTGGCTGAGATGAAGTGTCCTTTGTACAAACTTGTATGCTTTTCTTAATCAGAGTTGCCCTACCTTTTCTGGAAAAGCAGCTTAGGCACTGGGTGGTGAAATATATAGTATTACCCTGCCTTTACTCTTCCAAAATATAGCTTAACAGCAGTTTTATAGGATACTACTTAAAATCAAGAGTTACATACCCAAGGCCATTGTTCTTTGCTATATATGCTTTTTTCCCCTTTAAGTGTCATTGGGTCTAGACATACCAGAGAGTACCATTCTCCACCTATCTCCAAATGACTAAGTTTTGGAGACTTTCAGAATGCTCATATGTGATGAAATGGGTTACTTTTGAAAGCACCCTTCATTGAAAGCTTAATGGTTCTATACTGAGAGATCACTGAAGCAAATCAATTAAACAAATATTTACTGAATGGGTGTTATATATCCAGCATCATATTTTGCATAAAAAGTATGTTGAGATTACATAGCATCAGATTCCAAGAAAAGAAAAATATGCATTGAGAATAAGTAGTGATGTTTCTCTGGGTATTTAGAGAGGCTCTCAAGGACCACACATGCATTGGGTCCAATTTAGCAAATTTCCTGGTTTACAGATAATGCCAGCATTTCCAGGTAGTGAAGCAGAGAGACGTTGATGATCAGTGAAAGGAGGAGAGTGGGCATTAAGAGCAAGAGACAGGCCATATATTTTGTGCCAAATGACCCAAATAAACCTAAAGGATGATGAGTTCTAAGGTAGCTGTTTAAACTCAGAAATGGTGTGTAAAGATCTCACTATGGACTACATCATAAAACTGTAGTAGAAAAAGCCTACTCAAATACCCAAGAATACTGAGGGGAAGAGGTAAATGATTGCAATTCAAGGCAAGCTAAAATAACAATGTTTTTTTCAATCTTCAAAGATAATTGAGAAACAATAAAATCTTAAGAGAGAACATGGAGTTCACTAGCTCACAAAGTACTAATAGCAGAGACATCTTAGAAATTGAACTGTGTCTTTTAAAAATGAAAAGTAAATGCTACTTTGCACAGTCAGGAGTGAACTTAGGAAACATTCTTATAAAGGGTGAGAAAACAAAATGTTCAAACACCATTTGGCTAAATCCATGGAGAGATACTTCATAATGGGCTATAAAAATAAAACATCATGAAGTTGTTACATACATAAACTTTGGGTTGTACAGAACCAAAGATAATAACCAAAGTGATACTACCAAATAGAACAAACGAAGCTATACAAATCATGAACCTGCTGAGTGTAGCTTTTTATGTCCTCTAAGTATACATATAAATTTGTAAACATTTGATCTTTGACTCTAAAATTATAAAATATTTGTTGCATAAAATCTATTTAAATGTATTAAAATCATTTTTGGTTGCTGAATCTATTTTCTGCATAAATGTTTTTCTTCATGAAAATACACTGTTACTCTCATGAATATTTATATATTGTGCTTGTAGGTAATAAGGACTTTATGACACTTTACAGGCACTTGCTGTGAATATAAAACATACTATAAATTTTGGTAATGGTGAAAAAAATAATATTCAACTCCAAATATGAGGGACAAAGTCAACACTAAGAAAATGTGTTTCATTGATAACATTTTGTTTGAAAGTAATAGTAATTCACATTTCACAGTTCTCAATTATAATTTACCAAATGTAGCATTCACTACAAATTTTATGCACACATAAAATATTAATACAATACTAAAAGCTGATGTGGATTACTTTTCCTGAAATGTATGGACCCAGGTCTGAGGCTTAATTTTATTTATTTTATTAATAAACTAGAGGTCTGTTGCACGAAAAGATTCATGTAATAGGCCTTCCCTTCCCCTGGCTGCCGGCACCGGTTTTCCTCCAGCACCCGGGACCCAGGCCTTCGCTCCGGCCGGAGCCACCTTCAGTCTTCACTGCTCCTGCCGGAGCCACCTTCAAGCTTTTGCTGCTCCAGCCAGAGCCACCTTAAAGCCTTCGCTGCTCTGGCCGGAGCCGCCTTCAGTCTTCGCTCCGCCGCTTCGCACCTACATATGCAAATTAACCGCCATCTTTGTTGGTGGTTAATTTGCATATCTTGCTCATTAGCCAATGGGGGGTGTAGCGAAGGGTGCACCAGGCCTCTATCCTATATAATAAAAGGGTAATATGCAAATTGACCCTAACAGCAGAACGACTGGGAATGACTGGTCACTATGACACACACTGACCACCAGGGGGCAGATGCTCAATGCAGGAGCTGCCCCTTGGTGGTCAGTGTGCTCCCACAGCAGGAGCTCTGCTCAGCCACAAGCCAGGCTGGCGGCTGCCAGTATAGCGGTGGTGGTGGGAGCCTCTCCCGCCTCCTCAGCAGTGCTAAGGATGTCTGACTGCAGCTTAGGCCTGCTCCCCGCTGGCAAGTGGACATCCCCTGAGGGCTCCCAGGCTGCCAGAGGGATGTCTGACTGCCAGCTTAGGCCCAATCCCCTGGGGAGTGGGCCTAAGTCAGCAGGTAGACATCCCCCGAGGGGTCCCAGACTGTGAGAGGGCACAGGCTGGGCTGAGGGACCCCCCCCGAGGGCACAAATTTTTGTGCACCGGGCCTCTAGTTAATTTATATACAGAGGTAATATGCAAATTAGGCTGGGACACCATAATGGTCATGACCAGTCAGAAGGAGGTTGCTCGAGCAGCAGGCGTGGTGGGCAGGGACTTGCAGCATTGGGGACTTGCGTCACCATCACAATCCATCACCAGAAGGTGTGGGGCCAGGCAGAGGCCTCCACGGGGCTCCAATGGATCAGTGATGGTGAACGGGGAATCAGGGTGGGTGGCGAGAGGATAGGGCTGGCTGTCAGGCCGTTGGGATCACCAGCTCATCCCCAGCTGTTCAGGGGCTCAGGCCTCCGGGAAAGCGACTTCACCTTCATGCGTATACACCTGGCTGGCCACTGATGGAATGCACTGCCCGCTCAGGCCACTCATGCCAGGGCAGGTAGGCTGTGGGCGCTCCCTGCAGCCTCCATCAGTGCCTTAAGCCCCAGCAGCAGCAGCAGCGGTAGTAGTGGTGGCAGCAGCACCCACAACCTACCCACTCCAGTGTGAGCACCCTGAGCGGGCAGCACATTCCATCAGTGCCTGGCCTGGCACACATGCATGCAGGTGAAGTCACAGGCACCTTCTTTCCCACAGGCCTGAGCCTCCAAGCAGCTGGGGATGAGCTGGTGATCCCAACAGCCTGACAGCCCTGCAGTGGAGGCGGCGTTGGGCCTGGGGACTGGCGAATGGGCAGAAGATGGCCCTGATTGGGCCAGTCGCTACAATGCCCACTGTAGCCAGCAAAGGATCCGATCAGGGGGTGGAGCCTGCGGTCAACCTGGAGGCCCCTCCCCCTTGCTGGCCTGCCCCTGATCAGACTCTTCCATCCCGATCAAGAGCAGGGCACACAGAGCCTGGACCCTTCCTGCCAGCCCTGAGCCTGTGGGGTTGAGAATTCTGATGGCCCTGCCCAGAGAGTAGAGGTGCCTGACGGGCAGGCTACAGGGACCACAGGCCTCCAGGGAGCACCACAGAGTTGGCAAGTAGAGGAGAGGGCCTGTGAAGGGGGAGGAGGTGAAGCCAGAGGACACCAGCCCAGAGTCCAGCCCTTCCCCTCGGGAGGCAGCAGGACCTAAACCCAGAACCCCAGCCAGAATCAGAAGAGCCCGAGGGAGGCTTCAGGAAGCTCTATGCAAAGCTGCGCATTGAGAACAAGAGACTTCGTGAGGCCCTGACCCAGACCACACTGCGGCTGGTGCAGCTCAAGGTGGAGCCGGAGCACACCACGCAGAGGCAGGAGTGCTTTGCAGAGAGGCCAGCCCTCCTGGAGCTGGAGAGATTTGAGCTCAGGGCCCTGGAGCGCAAGGCTGCTGAGCTGGAAGAGGAGCTAAAGGGCCTGTCCAACCTCTGGGCTGTCAACCAGCACCTCAAGGAGGAGAACGCGGCCCTGATCCGTGTCATCAGCAAACTGTCCAAGTGACCCTGGAGGACTTGGCCCTGCATCCGCATTTATACAGCTGCTTCTGCCACATGCACTCCTTCCCCTGTGTGAACACAAGTGGCAGGGCTGCCGGGGAATCTCTGAGAAGCCATAACCTCCCCTTGGGACCTCCAGGCTGGGAGGGG